TTCTCCGTCGTCTTCACATATGCCCTAAATGCCGATACCATGCAGAGTTGGGGGTCCGAGAAAAAAAACGGGTAGAAGACCAACAATGAATCCAATTTAGTCCGTCGGGAAATACGGAACGTGACTCCCTCCGGAGATAGAAAAGGCATCCACGTCAAAAGCGCGCACATCAGAGACTCGTCGGAACGAGATGAGGCACAGTAGAAATGAAAATTTGGCCGTCAATTGTCGTAAGGATAGGAGTTCGTTAGATGGTCATCCTCTCAAGAACCAAAGCACTATGTCTACATCCCACAGATGTTGATATTTGGGGGTTGGAGGTTGCCTAAGTTTGATGCCTCGTAGCAGTCGACATATCAGGAGATCTTGACCAACCACCCTCCCTTGAACAGGTACATGGGCTGCCAATATAGCGGACCTGATGACGTTGATGGTACGGTATGACTTACCTTCCTCGAAGAGTGAACACAGGAAGTTCATGATCACGGCAATAGGTGCTGTAAAGGGATCAAGGTCCCGTCCCACGCACCAACAGGTACAAGATCGCATGGCCGATAGGTAACTTTTCCTTGTTTCTGGAGCCCATAAGTCCCACAGCAGGTCTCTAGTAACTGACGATAAGTCGCTGGTACACCATGCACCCCTGAAAGAGTCCAGGCTACTACGGACAGGCAATACAAAAAAATAGACAGAGTAACCCGTGCCCAAAATGTAAGTACAAGCAGTTATACGTACAATGATTTCCAAATGTATAGTACAGTGGCCTTTAAAGAGAAACAAAAAAACAAGATAATAGTGCAATACATTAAGTATAAAGTGTAAGTGGTGTATGTCGCTACCACTCACATTTGTATGAGCTAACTCAGAACTCTGCTATTTTGCGCGTGGACAGAAAAATCCCTGTCTAAGGATATATGTTTTTGTTGTCACCACTGGGCCGTCAGATAAAGTCCAATGTGCAGGACATATGTGGAGGCAAATGCAGAAAAAAACTCCAATGGTGAAGTAAGTACAAATATGTGAAAAAGATAAATAAAAGTGGTATAATCCCCACCTAAGGATGTGTTGGTGGCAGGAAGCAGTTGGTGCAAAAGAAAGTAATATATATAAAATATAAAATAAGCTTTAATTTGCCAAAAGATGATAAAAACAATATATAGATATATAAATAGATAAAGGAGTCCAACTTTATGCATTTCACCCTCTAAAAGGGATTCTTCAGAAGTGTGGTAGAGTCCTTATAACGTTCTGTTTATAAAGGGAGTTCATAATTCAAAATTGCCTCCTGGTTTTTCTGAATTTTGGTTTCCTGTCACCGTTTTGGAACGCATGTGTCACAGCGGAAGTGACGCGTCAGGTTCCTTGCATGGTAATGGTTTATTGACTGTATGCGTTCCACAGTGGAACGCATATGTCGCCAAAATAGCGGCATTGCGTTTCCATTCAAGTGAACATACCATTCTATCCACAGTGGGATAGTAACAAGTCCATGTAAATTGAATTCTTTAAGTCTTACCTCTTCAGAGAGGTAATTGTGGTAATCCATGACATAACGAGCAGTGTGCATCACGGGGGAAGTGACGCAACACAAGGGTTTCTGACATGTTATTTCTCCCGGTAGTGGCTGGATGGCCATATTACATCAGGGCAAGAGAAGGGAAAAGGAGTATGTGTGAGACGGGAATACATATGTAGATGAGTCTATACAGTTGAGAGATTTTAAACCAAAAGCCCAGTAATTCATCTACAGGTATTTTTAACTTATCACACAAGATTTTAGATAAAACTCAAATTAATGTCCTAGAAAGGCTTAAAATTTGCCACAACCAAACCCTTCAATTCTTTCCTTACATATGTAGACATAAATACATTTGTGAGGAATGGTACTTTAAAATGGTTCTATATTAATAAAAATCAAAATACACAAATCAATGTAGAAAGAACCCCAGAGAACAACCAAGACAAAGAATATACCTAATAAAAGCTCCTTAAAAAACAAGTCTACTTTTTATCTGGCACACTACAAATCCAGTGCTCTGGACACATGAGAAATAAATTCTGTAAAGAACTGAAAACTCAATGACAGTAATATATATGAAATTAATTAAACGTGCCAATAAAGGCGGAGGCCTCGTTATCCTGTCTAAGGAGCAATATGAGGAAGAGACCGATAACCAATTAAATGATCAAAACTGACCAACAATCCAACTCCGGAGATCAAAATCCAATTAAAAACCTATTTGGACAGGGAAGTGGATGCGGGGACCCTCGATCAAATAGAATTTCATTACATCAACATCCTACACCCCAGGATCCCCGTAATCTATTTTCTGCCCAAAATACAGAAGAACTTACATAAGGCAGTAAAGTATATACTAGAAAAAGATGGCTCTATGAATAAGGATCAAATTGATTTCTAATTGAAGGCATAGATATGATTTTAAACAATAATTTTTTTTTCAATTCCCCCCTTAAAGATGGTTTTTATCTACAGAAAAAGGGAACAGCTATCAGTACCAGGTTTGCACCCAGCTATGCCAACCTCTACATAGCAGAATGTGAAGAATGCTGTGTTTGGAGGGGGCATGGCTGGACGGAAATCCTGGTATCCTATTCAAGGTATATCGATGATCTCCTCTTTATTTGGAAGGAATCTATTTAATCAGCAAAATATGTCATAGTGTTTTTAAACTCAAACAAGGAAGGTATAGTTTTAACCGCAGATTTTAGCAATGCTGAGGTCATTTACTTAGACTTAAACATCTATGTAACAAAATAAATACAAAAACACATTTTAAAGATTTTCATGTAAATAACTATATAGATACCAAAAGCTGCCATAACCACAAATGGCTAAAAAGTATACATAACTGTCAGATGATGAGGCTAAGAAGAAATTGTTCTGAGACCTCCATTTTTAAGAAACAAGCTAAGATTTAAAAAGAAAGTTTTACACAAAAGAGTTATGAGGACAAATAAATAGAGTCCACCATTGCTCAAACATTAGAATTGAATAGACAAGAACTCATATACAAAGAAAAAACTCAAAGAAACCAAAACTTCTCTATGCCCATCATACTAGACTATAATAATAAAAATAAACAACTAAAATGAATTCTTAATAAGCACTGGCACCTATTACAAGAAGATGAAATACAGGCCTTCAATCACTCACAGCATAATGGTTTGTGGTAATATGCAGACTCTTATTATGATCACTGGGGCTCACTCAGGAAAATCTGAATTGCAAACACAGATTCCGTTCAGCAGCACTCTGGGTATTACCCAAATGAGGGCTCACCCCTTGCCAGAATACTAGGATAAACCTGACTGACAGTCCCACTCCCTAGGGGTATAACACCAACCTGACCAGGTCCCTGACAGCATGCACAGCACAGTTTGACAGCAAAAAAATGAAAATTAGCAAGCGCCTAATAGTGATGGGAGCAAACTCTGTGTCTAACACACCAACAAGATAGCCACCTCTAGCCAGTCTCATGAGAGCCTCTAGCTAGTCTCATGAGAGCCTCTAGCCAGTCTCATGAGAGCCGAGGGTAAAATGGTTCTAAAAAGCCCATGAAATGCATACGCATGAAATAAACAGAGAATTCCGCGAATGGACCAAAAGTACCGAAAACTACCGAACACTGATAACTGCTAGTATGCGAGTGGAAATACTGAACGCCTATGCAGAGTAATAGGTGCGAACGGAAAAAAAAACGTGAATAGCTCGTTTATACATATGAATCAATAGAATTCCCTGCCCGAATGCATTGAAATCAATGCGAATGGCAGAGGAAACCGGAAGAAAGTGGCAAACGTAGCCACGGTGGGAAGAGAGGGCCAGAGAATAGAGGGAACAGAATCCCAACAAGAAAAGGAAAGAAAAACAGTCTCACTAGATAGGTATAGATTAAGGACAGAAAAGAGAAATTACCTCAGAGCATTAGAGAGGATAGGAGGCATAAAGCTGTTCCTCTCCAAATCCCCCCAGAGGTATACCCACAATAGTAATATTAACTTGTGAGGCCTGGGATTAGTAGTATAAAAAATAAAAAACGATCTTTATTAAATTGTATTTGTTAGAGTCTATAGACTCATTAACACAAAACCAAAGAAAAGAAAACAAAACTGTGATTTTCTAGCTTTTATAGAATATTTAAGTGTACATTGAATAGTTTTAAAGTAAATGTATAAGTTAAATAGTATAAGTAGAGTACTGATCATGTAGCATTCCCTTAGGAACCACAGGCAAACATATGATTATAAGTGTAATCAAAGAAAGTTAGGACATGAAGATATTGTATATCCATATATATCATTCCTAATGTATTGCATAGTAGTAAGCATGTAAAATTACTCGGGGGCCGCTAGTAGCTATGGAGTATAGGTTAGGAATTAATGTCTGAGGTAAACTGCAAATTGATTGGCAGGGGGAATTGATACCAAGGAGGATGCCCAAAGAATGCCCAAAGGAATTCATTGATTATTCCCTGCACCAGCATATGAATTCTACATATTGCTGGGCAGCACTTTTAAAATGTTATCTGATACTATATCTCTGCTATTTGACCAGTACAATTTGCACATCTCTTAACGCTTTGTTCTGTATTTATCTCTGCCGTACAGACCATCTTTTGTAAATGTCTGCAAATAACATTTTCAGCTCCCAGTGTCTTTTGTGAACGTAATCAGCAACTTTGGGATTTATTTTCTAAACCAGGATCTGTGTGGAATTAAGAAGAGAATAGTACATTTTAGAGTAAAATAACCAGGCTGGAAAAAGTTCTAGTTTGGCTACATTTCCAGTTCAGCTATTAAGACCTAAACTTTACAGTTTCCTTGCCAACAATCTACAATTCACAAATTAGCAAATAAACTCTATAAATCAACTTATATTGCCATTTAAGTGTCCATTCTTAGACATAAAAGTAAAACATACCTTGATTTTCTTTAAGGAGACGTAATTTGTTTCAACAACGATGCAAAGTGTCTGATGGCCTTCATCATACGAAAGACCAGGAAGTGTTTGAAGAAATGAAAAATTCACTAATGCATCATTGCCAGAAGAAAAATTGTGGGGTCTCTCTGATACTGTGATCCTTGTAGGCTTGTAAATGGTTGGAATAAAATGAATCAATGTTTCACGCAGTCTGAATAATAAGTCTCTTGTAAAATCACCATTCCACATTGTAATAATAAGGAAAATGAGAGGTTATTTTCAGTTCATTGAGCAGTTGCAGAATGCTTTTATTCTGCATGGGGCTTAACATTACTAGCAAAGAACTCATTAACTAAACGCCAGGATATATAGTCTGCAGATGTCTGCAAATAATGACTTTAGCGTTACCCATCAGGTGTATGATAGAGTATGAAGTGAATAGGACACATGTGACTGTGTTATTATACATGCATGTAACAAACCTGATCAAAAGTTTTTTTAACAGGACTATATAAATGTCAAATATCATATACTGTAAATATATTTTTTTCTTTTAAAAATCTCTATTGTATGTACATTTTATTACACATTAAAAATGTTGTCTTAGGATATCCCTCTCAATTTTGCATTGGTTGATTGCTTGTTTTTTATTTAGTATCATGTTTTTATTTATATCTTTTATAGTAGGCACTTTCTGGGATTTTCCAAAATTTAGCTATCGCCAGTTGTAAGTTGTAGCAACCTAAATACGAGTAATCAAATATTTCTCCGTTTTAGCCATTGACGGCTATTCAAAATGTAACAAAAATCTCTCTAAAGAGAAAATAAATTGAATTCATAATAATTCTTTAATCTGACTTGCCCCTTTTGCCCAAAATGTATTTATGACATTGCATGACCACCAGATATGAATATAGTGTGCTTTAGAAGCATTGCATCTCCAACAATTACCGTATTTATCGGCGTATAACACGCACTTTTTCTCCCTGAAAATAAGGGAGAAATCGTGGGTGCGTGTTATACGCCGGCCCTTTAAATTCTGCAGCCGCCTGAGCGCTCTATAAAGAGCGGTCAGGCGGCTGCAGTTGGTTCTCACCTTCCCTGTAGCGTGGCCGAGCCGCTTTGCCGTCCGCGGTGGCCGGCCGGCGTGATAGGAAGGTGCACGCTCAGTGTGCACCTTCCTGTCAGTCCGGCCGGCCACCGCAGACTGTACCCGGTCGGACTGACAGGAAGGTGCACACTGAGCTGCACCTTCCCATCAATGCCGCCTGCCAATCGCGAGACTGCAGGCAGAGCCGCTCCTCGCCAATGCCTACAGGAGGGGGGGGAGTAAGAAGGGGAGTGGGGATGGGGCAAGAAGAGGTGGGGGGCAACAAGAGGGGAGGGGGGTGTAAGAAAAAGGGAGGGGGCTAAGAAGAGGGAGGGGCGAAAAGGGGAGGGGGGCAAGAAGAGGGAGGCCAAGAAGAGGAGGGGCAACAAGAGGGGAGTGGGGGGCAAGAAGAGGGGGAGCAAGAAAGGCAAGAGGGGGAGGGGGAGTAAGAAAGGGGGCAAGAGGAGGGGGGAGCAGCAGGGGAGGGGGAGCAAGAAGTGGGGGTAAGAGGAGGGGAGTAAGAAGAGGGGGAGGGGGGAGAAGAAAGGGGGGTAAGAAGAGGGGGGAGTAAGAAGAGGGAGGGGGGTAAGAAAGGGGGAAAAGAGGGGGAGGGGAGTAAGAAGGGGGTAAGAGGGGGAGTGGGAAGTAAGAAGAGGGGGAGGGGGGAGTAAGAAAGGGGGGTAAGAAGAGGGGGAGGGGGAGTAAGAAGGGGGTAAGAGGGGGAGGGAGAAGTAAGAAGAGGGGGAGGGGGGAGTAAGAAAGGGGGGTAAGAAGTTCTTTATTTGAAATTTAAAGGACCACTCTAGGCACCCAGACCACTTCATCTTAATGAAGTGGTCTGGGTGCCAGGTCCCTCTAGGATTAACCCTTTTTTTTAATAAACATAGCAGTTTCGGAGAAACTGCTATGTTTATACTGACATAGCTAGAGGCGCTTGCGTGCTTCTCACTGTGAAAATCACAGTGAGAGCACGCAAGCGTCCATAGGAAAGCATTGTAAATGCTTTCCTATGCGACCGGCTGAATGCGCGCGCGGCTCCTGCCGCGCATTTGCATTCAGCCGATGACGTCGCGAGCAAGGAGGAGAGGAGAAATACAGCTCCCCGCCCGGCGCTGGAGAAAGGTAAGTGTTTAACCCCTTCCTCTCTGCAGAGCCCGGCGGGAGGGGGTCCCTGAGGGTGTATAACACGCACCTCATTTTAAGAAGGAAATTTCAGGGGGAAAAAACTTAAAGGACCACTATAGTGCCAGGAAAACATACTCGTTTTCCTGGCACTATAGTGGTCCTTTAAGTTTTTTTTCCCTGAAATTTCCTTCTTAAAATGAGGTGCGTGTTATACGCCGGTAAATACGGTAGCTTACATTTTTAAATACATTTTGATCATCTTTAAGTGACATAATGTAATTTATTAATAACCTTATAATTGATATCTATTAAATTTAAACAAGAAATATCTTTATTTACATTAACAGTTATATTATTCCATGCTTTTTTGTTTATTTGAATCTATCATTCCTCTTCCCACGCCATTATTGCTGTAAATTTATGGTTATCTATGTGACTAGAGATTAATAGTTTACATCTATTGATCAGTTTCTTTTTATTAATATTTTTTATTACTTCTAAAAAAATGTAACAATCATTTTTAATTCTATATTTTGTTAGAAAAACTCTTTTAAATAGTTTTTATTGAAAAGTAAAATTTTTTTTCTGATACAATTTTCAATAATAAATGGAACATATTAAAACATGAAACACAAAAAAAGAAAACCAAAAATTGGGGCATAATGGTATAGTACAATTATCCGGTAAATGAAAATATACTAATAAAATAAGAATGATTTATCATGGTGCAACATAACTTTAAATGGCATAAACTGAATATGACATTTTAAATATCCATGCCTGGTCAGGTGGGGGTCACGTATTTAAGTTAAATTTTTGTCTAACATCCTTTTCCCAAATATCCCATTCATATCGTAGAAGATTGCGTGTATCAGATGTGGTGTGATTTCACATCTCATAACAAATTTAAACCTATTTAGTTTAGAAAAACGTCGCCTGAGAGGGGATATAATAACATTATACAAATATATTCGGGGCCAATACAACCCATTGTGTGGAAATCTATTCACAAACCGGACTTTACATAGGACACAAGGCCATGAGTTTAGACTGGAAGAAAGAAGATTTCGTCTAAGGCAAAGGAAAGGTTTTTTTACTGTAAGAACAATCAGGATGTGGAATTCTCTGCCTGAGGAAGTGGTTTTATCAGAGTCCATACAGATGTTCAAACGGCTACTAGATGCATACTTGCAAGAACAGAATATTCAAGGATATAATCTTTCAATGTAGGGTAATAACTGCTTGATCCAAGGATAAATCTGACTGCCATTCTGGGGTCAAGAAGGAATTTTTTTCCTAGCTTGTTGCAAAATTGTGCTTCAAACTGGATTTTTTTGCCTTCTTTTGGATCAACAGCAAAAAACAAATGTGAGGTAGGCTGAACTTGATGGACGCAAGTCTCTTTTCAGCTATGTAACTATGTAACTATATTATCGAACAATAAATTAAGAACTTCTTTAATTTCTGTAACAACAGGCGATTTCCAATGTCGTGGAAGAACCAATGGCTCTCCCCTAGTCTTCAATCGTTTAAAAAGTGCCGTAAAACTCATCTCTTCATAAAAGCTTACGGCCGTACATACCTGTCCCCTGCTCTCACCTAAAGGGCAGCACTCTACTCTCTCCTCCAGCTCTGTTTCAATCCACCTTGTTTGATTGCTACCTCCTGTTTTACACCCCACCTCCTACAGACTGTAAGCTCATCCTCTTCAACCTATTGTTCCTGTAAGTTTTTGTAATTGTCTAATTTATTATTAAATCTCCCCCTCTTATAATATTGCAAAGCGCTATGGAATATGCTGGCGCTATATAAATACCAGTAATAAAAACAATAAAAAATGTAGCTCAGATCAAAAGATGTTCTAATATGATCTGTTTATGTTTTGGTAAATTCCCAGAAATTCTCTTAAAGGGCAGAGTTCAAGAGTTAAAGTTCTTGCTGAGTCATCAATAGTTTTAATTAAGCGATGAATAGGGTTCCAATAAGATTACAATTTTGGGCATGTCCAAAACGTATGGCATAATTATTGGTATTTACCATTATTGAATGGGCTATTAGATTTTTAATCTGATTTTCAGTTAATTTATTCAGGATTCAATTTTTAAAATATTTTTCTGGATTGATATTATCCTTTTTAATGCGATATAGTTTTTTTTTTTTTTTTATAATATTCATTAAATGCTTCTACTATTTTTTTTCGGGTATTAATTGTAGACCTTCCTTAATTTGGATATTATAAATAAAATGTTCTGCTTTTTTCCCCTAACATTTTTTGAGGTATGTTTATCCGCACATTTTCCCTTATAATATCAATTACGTTTCTGTATACATAACCTTTGTTTGAAGTGTTTATTAACAAATAGCGGGTGAACCAGCCCTTTCCTTAGAATGTCCGAGGTTATTGTGTCCTGGGATAATAACAAAGGACCCCTAGGGATAATTAGCTTAACCTAATTTACATTGCTCGTTAAGAGCTCTTGTCTCCCATCCCAGTTTGTACTCTCATTGGTTTAAATACGTTACCTGTTTGTGCTGTGGTTTTTAAGAGAAGCTGGGAACACAGAAATTAAGAGTTTTTCGTTGTGTTACTAGCAAGAAGCTTGTGTCTTGTCTCTGTGCTGAGGTCTTGGATGGAATCCATGCACTTTTAAGTCATATTCATTGAAGTGTAGTGCCAGTGGAACATACAACCGCAGTGTATCCTGGGTTGCCGGTGAAACCACTAACAAGCAAAAGTAACCTTGAGGCTTAGTTAAGCAGTTAGCGGTGCAGGTTAGGCAAAGAAACCCGTGCATGATAGCAGGCCTGAACTGGTACACCTTTGGTGCCAGAAATGCCAGGGCCATATAGTCACATTCAGATTTAGCAATTTGGACTCAAAACAAGCATGAAATAGGTTAAAATCTCATCCGGCTGAGATTTTAACCTATTTCATGCTTGTTTTGAGTCCAAATTGCTAAATCTGAATGTGACTATATATTATTTATTTAATTAGGGTCCCCACCCGCCGCTCATGTGTGGGGACCAAAAGGGGTCATTAGGTCCCACCCATTATTTAATTATT